CGCTCAAACTGAATAAAATGTGCTACATAATTACCAGTCCATTCGTATTGGTGGTTAAGCTGATAATTTTTTCTTGACAACACCAGGATAAGTGATGTAATTTATCAAAATCATAAAAAAAATCATCCTTTTGGGCTATATATAAATCTTTTCTGCAGCTTCTGGACAAAAACAACTTTATATACTACTCAGTAAATAGTGTTTAACAAATGGAGTGGAGTTAATTGAAATTTTCTCGGGACTATGGTACGATACTATATGTAGATTTGTGCTGTTTGGTGTCAAGTAGAAAAAAGAATGCAATGCACACAAGTAATGGATTTTTTTTTTTCAATCCATTGTGGGTCTTTAGAAATAGTGCATATTAATATTAATTTTACTCTTTGCCATTTGCCTCCAAATTAAATTATAGAGTAACTCCAGAGAGAAGTAGTTCCACGAGTTATTTTAGTTATCACACTGTAGAAAAAACAGTGTTACAGAACTCCAGACTGGGTTGTTATCAGCCTTTATTAATCCCATATACATGACCAGAGGCATCTTTCCATATCTTGTAGAGGAATCATTGAGCATCATTATCGTCTGTTGTAATCAGGGGTTAAAGTGGGCTGGAACATTTCAAAGACATTCTGTCACCTTCAGTTAATGACCAATTAAATCTGATAGGCAGGTTAATGCATATTACTACGGAATGAGTTAATTTTTCATGTGCTGCAGTCTAGCCTTGCTTCAGTGACAGTATGGAGATTCTTGTTCGGTAATATGAAAATAACCCCATCCCACAGTCCACATACACCCTCATCGCCCTTTTCTTCTCCTCGCTGTGAATGTTTCATGGTGCAGATATAAAAAAAAAGTTGCTTTCTGTAGAGAAAAGGAACAAGCATCAGTGGCGTCGGATTTTAAAATCAGATACTGGATCTATATGCGAAGTGTTGCTCAATTATGTCTTTGTGAGAAGTCCTGCAAAACTAACTAGACTATACAAATGTTCTGTTATTTAAAGGTTATATCAAGATGTTGTAATGTTAATATTAGCAGTATGACTGCAGGTTAAATTGATTAGTTCACAGTACTTTGGTGAAGTTTATAGTAATATGTGGTGTTCATGGTCAGTGTTAGTTTACATCAAGGGTAGCCAAAATCAGAATATATCAAAGGTGATGAGTGCAAATAAATTCACTCATTAAATTCTACCTTTTATACTAGTTTTAGTATAAAAGCCACAAAAGCTTGTGAAGCATCTGCTTATATTCATATTCTGTATAGTTTTTCATATTTATATCCTGTTCATATCCTGTACATAGCTTGTACTCACTACAGCCTGTACATACTTATAGTTATAGAATATTCACAACATACTTCATACCGTGTACATTATAACATACCATAATAGACCCATTTCTGTAATATACTCACATATCTATATTATTGCTAATATATATTGTAATATATCTATATCACTAAAGCACTTCTGGATGGATGCAAACTGCATTTCGTTGCCCTGTGCATGTGCAATGACAATAAAGTTGAATTCTATTCTATTCTATTCTATTCTATATCTTGTTGAATTCAGCTAGCTAAACCCACAAAGAACAGTGACTAGCAGCCTGGGTCAAATGATCACAGCCTGTACACAAAGTAAAGCCTACCGGAGCTCACAAAGCAAGATATTATGTGACTTTCTAATCACTTTTACCACATTGCACCAGTGCACCAGATTTTATGATACCCCAAGCTGCTAAATCCCACTTTAACTCCTGGTTATAATGAGTGAGAAAGCAAGACAAATTATATGAGTGACAATATCAGGTGGTAAATACTACAGGAAGCTGGCAAATGGAGGTTTGTTCTGATGCCTAAATCTCACTAAATAGACTTCTCTTTAGCTTAGAGTGACAAAAAGTGAAAAGGAAAAAACAAATGAAGCAGGAATAACAAATGTTGCATGCAAAATTCTCACCTTGAACTCGTGTGCCACTGTCAGTAGTTCAACTATCACTAGGTAGAAAGAAAGCGTCACCTGCTAGGCCTCCTTGGCTGATAACATTCATAGCTCGTTTTCAGAGCTAGCATCCAAACGCCCTGCAAAAATGTACAGCAAATCGGGGTGATGCTAAAAAATACTTTTAGTGTGATGCCACTGAAATGCACATAAGGAGCTGCTGGCCACTCAAGTGCTCATCCATGAAGCTTTAATATCAAATGAATACTGAAGATTTGAATATATCACTGCTGCTTTTAATAATGCCACAGAAACTTACGAGAACCCAAACAAGTGAAAAGTGCTGAAAACGTTGAACTCTGTAAGACTTTGAGAATAAATGAAACTCATAGAACACTGTACAGAATGTCTGGTTTATTGGTTGTACTCATACATTTTTAAAATTACTATATGCTTCGTATCTAAAGACTCTCAGATGAACTGTACTGTCTCTAAAGGCAGACATAAGTAACGCCTTGAATACAGAGCAACTCTCACCAGCAGTGATTGTTTGACAATTCAATCTGATGAACTCTGAAAAGTAAATCTATAATTTATATAATAAAGACTTTCATAATGCCACGGTTACTAAAGCAGGATTTAACCTTTCAGGAGAATTTGTGGTGAAGTTTTATTCCATGAGCTATGTGCTCCTGATGAGAGTTGCTTTGTTTTGCCAGAGCTCAGTCAAACTGCAGTTTAGTTTTTATTTGATAATGTTATACACCGGTGGAGGAACAACAGACACTATCAACACAGTTGTGCTTATCTTTTTTCATTTTTTCTTTTTTTTCTGTCAAATATCAGTTTTTAACATAATCTTTTTCACAAGAACAGACTAAGTCAAATCTGTTAGAAGTTTTGTATACCAACATGCTCACAATGCTTCTGAACCATTTTTTCTTTTTTTATTTTCATTTGTTGTTTTTCTGTATGTGTGTGTGTGTGTGTGTGTGTGTGTGTGTGTGTGTGTGTGTGTGTGTGTGTGTGTGTGTGTGTCAGATCAACATACATCAAAACCGACGCCCCTTTTTGTTTCGTACAGTATCTGCCGGGTCTGCCATGTTGTATTAGAATATTATGATATTCTTTGCGATTAGCAGGCTTATAAAGGCAGGAGGAAAATAAAAAGACCTGCAGTCATGTACACAGGCTTCACTTCACACAGGCAAGAAAATCACAAACCATAATAGGTGCAATCCAAAATGATCTCAGTCAACAAACATATAATCAATTCATTCTCCCATCCTTTACATACGTCTGTCTGAAAACAAGATTGCAGTCATTCTTTATCAAAAAATTCACATTTCTACTGAACTGAAAATCACCTCTTGTGCTTCGAAGATGAAAACTGACCAGACAAATCTACAAAAACAACAAATGCTTGAATAATGACAGACACCTTATTTGTGACTGTGATCTACGTGTAAGTTAATTAACTTTCTTTCATTTAAAATACTGTGTTTCTGTATTACATTATATTTTTTTGTAAATTGTGCAACAACGTCTTTAGTCTACTCTAGAAGGCCACCAGGTGTCTTGGTATATGTCTCCCTCTTTGTCCGTTCAGCAACGTTTCGAATCACAGCTTGTGAAAATCTGTGCTTGAAAATGCTCTTAGGTTTTCATGACAGTTGACCTTGTTGTTGAATCATCTCTAAGTAAGAAAAAAACGATGTTTTTAAACTGATGGGTAGAGTCAAGCAAACAGAATCCATAAAGTCACTTCAGCATAGCTGAATATGGACAGCAAAACCCAAACTATTGCACATATTAAAATATATTAAACATATTAAAAAATTACAAACGATATGCTAAAAACTAAAAGCTGGACCCTCACATTACACATAAACTATGTTTGCTCTTGTGTTTTAGTTTGATGATAATTGTACCAGCAATTAAAAACACACAATTTATGGGTTAAATGTGAATCAGTCTTAAGTATGCTACCTACTCTAAAAAATTTAAATCAGCCAGAGACAAAACTGTTTTTCTGTCTATATGTATGCATGTACGTTTGGTTCACACCAAGCAAACATATAGAAAGATTTATACATAAATTCTCTCACCTATGTACGCTGTGAACTGGCTTTGTACTCAGCTAATCTTGGACTGCCTTTCATTGATTAGCCAGACTATGACAAGAAGTTGTGATCTTCAGCTTTATCTTCTGGGTGTTTACGTCCACATGAAAAGAACAGTATCAGAAATTTAAGGTACGATCATAAACCTTCTAATCTCACCCCATACAACTCAAATGCTACAATACCTGATTTAAATTTGACATTTTTCCACCTTTAAGGTCATTTCCTTAGTTCCAGTACTGGTTTTAGATCACTCCTTTGACTCTCCTATCTGACCACTTGCAATGTATCCTGCTGTGAGTTCACAATGTGCCAACATCAAATCAATGTCATTAATCAAACACACAGTGTTGACGTCTTAGGTATGCTCTGTCACGGTTCTGGGTCCGTTGGACCCAGTATTTTGAGTTTATTATGTTTTGGTTCACTTTTGCATCATGGATTATTCTTTGTTTCTCTGGTACTTTGTGTTTCAGTTATCTTGGTGCTTTGGATTGTTTCTCATTCTCTTGTTGTGATGTTTATTATTATTATTATTATTATTATTATCATTATTAGAGTTTCATGTTTCTATTATCCATGTTTTAGGAATGGTGGTTTCATGTATAGTTCAGTTCCATGTTTCATTTTCTGTCTCTGTGTTGAGTCCATGTCTCTGAGTTGTGATTCATGTTTCCTGTTTTATTGTGAAAGACTTTGTCTTATGTTAGTGTGTGCAGCTTTGTTCCCCATGTCTCGTTAGCCCTGATCTCTCCCAGCTGTGTCTCCCTTCTGTGGCCCATTTCCTCATTACTACCCTGTGTATTTAAGCCCTGTGTTTTCCCATGCCCAGTGTCGTGTCGTACCCTCAGATTATGCCTGTGTGTTTTTGGTTTCGGTGTTCAGTCCTCACTTCATGTTTTGTTTTCTGGCCAGCAATAAAGCTGAGGTTTTTGAGTTGCATTCCGTTTTCCGAGTCCTGCATTTGGATCCTCCTCTCTGCCTGCCCGCACACAGAGCCCTGACATGCTCAGAACTATGCTCACCATTTTTTAACATTGATTGGGTTTTGTACTTTGTCCACTGGGGTTAGACGGCATTGAGTTTTAACAAGTTCCGCAGTGCTGCCAAAACGATGATCTATAAACTCAGCCAAATTTAAATAGGGGATGGTTTGAGAATGGCAAGGTTGTGCTAAGGAGTTGTGGGATCGTATGTTTGAATGTATAATTTTTAATCTGTGTCACCCTTTTTGTCAGGCTTTTAATCCATTAGACATAGCGGCTTGATAGGTTTTATCCTAAAATTTACCCGAAAAGAAGCCACACTATCAACTCAAGTCCCAGTAGTTACCAGATGGTCACTGCCCCAGGTCCCAGTCACACAGTCACACGTTTCTAGGCCGTGTGAGTGGGACCTGAGACTACCATGACCCAAGACCTACTGGAGCAGTTTCTTGTGATCTTCGGACTGTATATTCTTGGGGATAAAATCCTCAGTTTTGCTTGGGACAAATGATAAGTCAAGAACATAAAATTCTTTGATGAAAAGCTTTTTGTTGTTGTTGTGTGGGTTTAGAACTACTGTCCTGCTGCATTTTCCTGCATCTGCTAAAGGGGATTTATACACTGTTCTTCTGAAATGGAAAAATGGATGTAAACACCCTCAAAGTACTTTTATAGTCACTGTTTCATTTCAAATCAAGTTCAGAGCCAAAACAGCAAAAACATATGACTATTCTAACACTCCATTGTATTCTGGTTGAAAATCAGCATCATAGTCATCAGTGATTGTGACACAGATGAGTGTGCTAGAGAAGTCCATTTATGACACTGTTGTTTGGAAAAAAAAACAATATAAATATGAGATCTGTTATAGATATATCTTATATTTCCCTAATCCCTGATAGCCCAACGCTAAATGACAAAACAATAAAAACAATAATGGCTGTATTACATTATTGTCAGTCTACTGCACATTAAGAACAGAGTAGCAGCAATGCCTCATGGATTTGCATGTTATATACAGAGAGCATAATACATTTTTCTGGTTAGGTATGATTTATGGTGTTTATTTACATATGATATGTAGCCTGGATTAACATATTTCAACTTCAACGAAAAAGATCAATGACTTCAAAATGAAAATGTAATATTCCAGTAATGTAGAAAAATAAATTATATTACTTGTATTGACATGAGGAGAATGATTAGTTTATATCTAGCACCTATTGCAACCACTTACTCTATACTATAATGAGCTTTAGCAGACATATGGTTATGACTATCCCTGGCACTCTTACTGCCACTTAACTTCTCTCACAGGAAATACATTATATGGGCAGAATAAGTGCTCGACGGTGTATTAAATTAAAGGGCATTTGATAGAAAAATAAGTGTAATAAAACATTTTAAATCATCCTTCTTTTTAACATATCAGGGATTGTTTTAAATGAACTGATCTTTGACAAGTATACATTATGCATATTTTACTCTTAGTTGTGTGTGCTTTTTTTTTCTTGCTTTGCAAAAAGCTGTGATTGTTTATAGATCGCACTCCTCTGCACTTTTATAACCCTCAATGATAAATACAAGTCCAGCCAAGTTTGTGTAATATAATTATTTTCATTTTCACCTCTGTTTTAATATATATATATATATATATATATATATATATATATATATATATATTTTTTTTTAATCAAAAGGTCAATCTGAAATTTCAACAATATAAAGAAACTCATTTAGATGTATAGCTTCCTAATGCTAACATCTTTTATCACAGCTACCCAACTATTCAGAAAAACTGAGATTTTATTGAATGCCTTGACCAACACATGTACCAATTTATCAGCTACTTCCTCATGAAGGAAAATACCTTCATGACAAAAATGGAATAATTCTGTCTCATAATCAGAAGCCTTCTCATCGATGTGAATCCCTATCCCACCACTTTTAATACATATCTACAAAAACAGTGATATATATAGTTATCAACTCTTCTTTTACATTTGCAGTTAGTATTGTAATAATAATGAACTAACCTGGCAATGAAAAAGTAAACGGCAGCTTTAAGTGACCAATAACAATATGAAATCTAAAGACAAATGCCTTATAATTGCACGATCAGTGAACGTTTCTGTGCTTTTGCCATTGGCAGTAACTTTTTATTCAGCAAGGACTTTGAAGGAATAACAATCATCTTCCAGGGGATATTAACTCATGCTTTTAAATTGTGTTGCTTTAATATAGCAGTTGACTGTCTACACTGCAATAGATCCCGCAGACCCTGACAGAGCCAAGTAGTAGGTAAATGAATACATGAATAATGACTAATTTTGACTGAATAGAAGAGCAGCTTGTCTTTGTCAGTAACCCAAGAGCTTCATTAGTAATTGTAAACAAGAGTTACATCTATCAGCTCTATCAACAGACTCTATCATCAATAACTATTGATTAGCTTGTCAACAGTCAGTATAGAAGGCATCTGTCTGTGTTCACTGGGTAAGCAAATACAGCAGTCCCCTTTTATCCTTTCCATATTTATTGTGCCATATTAAGCGTAGTTTAAATGACACTGTGCTTGATTGCTCTGTGTGTCAGTATGTGAATAAAAGTTTGACTGCTTTGTTCATTTTGGAATGTAATTATGCTGCAGTGAATATGATTTTCAGTACATGGGGAAAATGTGTATGTGTGTGCTATATTTTTATTGAACTTCACAGAATCTCTGGTACCTTCACTCTTCTGCTTCCCCTTCACACAGTAATGTGGGTATTGCTCTACATCTAACCAACATTGTGAAGATCTATGCAAAAGTTACTTGCTGATAAAACTGTGCTTACACCAGCTCAGAAGTCTCCAGAAGTTGTTTAAAAGTAATTAACCCAGCTTTTCATGCCATCCTGTCATGAGACATTTTTGCGTGCATTTATAGTGAGAGCACTGTTTGAACAGTATGAAGTGTTTTTGGGTCCCAATGTGGACTTATGTGTGACCTCTAGGCCACCCGGGTGCAAACAGACACAAAACACGCACACTCACATAAACACACACATCTAAGGAGCTTGGAAAGAAAACCTTTGACCTCTCATCCAAGAAGCTTCTTCAGTTTGACACTTCTCGCTTTTCTTTCAACCTCCTTAGATTACCATGACCTGGATGACTGAGAACCTTCACAGACATAAACACATACAATCACATACTAGACCAGTGCTTATCTGCTTTGACTAAAACCGTGGCTCTTGCGATGGTTTTTCAGTGAATGATGACCGATTACAGCATGTGCAGTCCAGCAGCCATCAATAGCCCCAAGTGTAGCCATCAGCAAGCCTTCTGGTGGTTGATCATTTCATGGACATTGTCTTTATCCACTTGTATTGGTCCTCTGGGATAAATTATTCAAAGTTCTGAAGGCATTCAGTAAGTTACAGCACACCTACAGTACATACAGTAGGCCTAATCTACATGAACACACATACAAAGCCTACTACCATACATACGTCAATAATAGAACAGTCTCTTTTTTCTTTATCATTCCTTCTAGCTTCTGTTTAGACTCTCAGCGCACTGGCATAAAAGTAAGGTTTCTTTCAGAAACTTGATTTAAATAAGTTTAGTGTTCTCTCCCCTTTGTTGCAAAATTTATGATCAAAAAACGCTTGAACTGATTCTTGGCCTCATGTGTTTGCTCCTTCAGCTGTGTTTCCTGCCTCAGAGACGATATTTTCTCAGCAGGTCAGCCTGCCACATGTACTTCCTCTCAGGGAACCTCTCTGGGATCTTAATCTTGCGGAAGTCTTGAATGCACTTTTCCAACTCCTCCTCAACTGTGAGCTTCTCTTTTGTGGGCCTTTTCTTGCAGCTGCTGGTATCACGGGAGCTGGCTGTAAGAGTGCGCAGCAAGTCACTCTTGCGTCGTTGTTCAGACTGCTGGACCATGGTGACAGGGCCCTTTTTCAGCGGCCTGTCCAGGGTTTGGACATTGGCACGGGGATGCGACTGGCGACTTACTGGGCCACAGATGACTGTTCCCTGGGGAGAGCTGGCCTCTGACTGGCTCTCAGAGCTAGAGGTGGAGAGCTCATTAAAGGAGGTGCCGCTCTCACCCTCGCCGTCACCTTTGTGGTTCTTGCAGCAGCAGTCACATGGAGGGGACGACCAACGTGATGGACCACCTGGAGAGAGAGGGAAGCAGAGCGGGAGCCAATATTAGATGCTACTTTTTCCACCTTTTCTTTTCTTTTAAGACCAATCATTGTGAAGAGAAAAATGAGACAGTGGCACAAAGAGTGGCACAAATTACAGAGACAGGAGAAGAAAGGAAAAGTAACAAGCGCTACAGACAGACAAAGACGAAAAGTCAGCTAATGCCAAATGGCAATCACATTAGGACAGAGTGACATGACATCGGGGACAGCTGGCTGGCCTCCAGTCATAGAAGTGAGTTGGCTGACTATGTGACAAGCTTGTATTGTTCAGAGAACTACCCTCATAGATTCACGCTGTCATATGAAACAAGTGGAGGAGCTAAAGCCTTTTGAAAACAGACAATGAAGGTCCAGATTTATACGTTGTAGCCTACATGTATTCATACTAAAACAGTAGGAAGAAGAGCCAGGACAATAAACAATCATCTACACTGCAAATATGTGTGTAACCGAGGAAGAAAAAAAACAATGTGAGCAATGGTCAGTTTTAAGACAAACAAATAGCAGATTGCACAAGTTTGATTCCCCTGAAATGTGTAGTCTTATTTGCCATCATACTGTATTAATCTCTTTAACAATGAAACCAAAGGACAATGCACAGTTGTGGTTAGTTTAAACAGTGAAAACCACAATTAAACCAAATTTATGTAGCACATTGGAATCAATGTGAGCCAATCTACATCAATAAAGTGCAACTTGTATGTAGACACATTGTATTCTGGTTATATTCCTATATAAAAAGGAGATTTTACAACACCAGTTTAGCTCAGCGGGTTAGCAGGTGCCCATCTGCTGTGTGGCCAGAGACCAGCAGCCTGGGTTTGAGTCTGACCTGTGGCTCTTTACTGCACGTCTTCTTTACTGTCACTATCCAATAGTGACCAAAAATAATATTAACCTCCTAAGACCCAAACTCTTCCATGGCATGCGTTTTTAATTTCTCTTTGATATTTAGGCTGATTGGAACCTGATGAATGTAAAAATAAAGTTATACCAGATTTTTTTTTTCCTAATTTTTGTTTCTAAGAAAAATGAGAGCCACATATGAGGATATTCATTTAAAATTTCAATAGAACAGTTGCAGTATAATTTTCTCGTAAGTGGATATCAGGCCCTTGTAGAGCAAGATTTAGTATTTTGGTCTAAATAACCCAAAATGTAATGTCCACTAATGTGGACGCCAGGTCCTAGGAGGTTAAAAAAATAGGTTCTAAGAATCTATAAAGAAAATTCTACTTTAAGTCAAAGTTTTGGCCTGACCCTGAATGCAAGCAGTGATTTTGAAGGTGAATTTCTGTGTGTATATAGATGGCAGCAGACAACAGATTTTTGGTGATTTATGATACTTGTTTGTTCCATTATCTCCAGCGGACTGCATGTAATGGCAAACTGCAGACAGTTATCAGACTGACACCATTTTATTGCCATTTTATAATTGTCTTGATGCACATAGACACTTTGAAGCCAGGAACTGACAGTGAGTACTCTCAGACCTGGTCCTTATCTTTGAAGTAACCATGTCAACCCTGACTGACAACCAACAAGCCATGTCTCATTTCCATCATGGCAACAAAATTGCAAGTTTATTGTACTCGGTCATAATAATTTTTGTTGTGGTTTGGTCTACATCCACTTTTTTCCCTTGTGTGACTGTAGCATGAAAGACCCCATATTTAGTATTTCCTCTTTCGCCTTTTTGTGCATTTGAAAGCTCCACAAAGTGACAGGGCCAAAACGTGTAACTTCTCACTTTCTGTCATTGTTTCTGTTGTACAAAGACAAATCTTCATGCACTTCATGAACTAAAATCCAAGTTGACTTTTATTATTATTATTAGTTGTCGTCGTACTAGTAGTAGTAATAGTAGTAATAGTCACCCCACATTTTCCAACTGTTGGAAAATTGTTAGTTAGCGACGCTAGCCACTTTGTATATGGCTAACATTACCTTTAGCTTTGATGGATTCCGGTGAAGAATGCTGCAAAGCTAAGGAGCTATCAGAAACTGTAGAAACTTTAAGATAATTTAACAATGAATATTGACTGGATGTGGGTTATTGTATTTTCCTGCTTTGTTTTGATTTACTCTAATTTAAGCTGATGTTGTTTGAAACACGTATTAAGAAAATTGTGGAGTTTATTAGTGTTAATGGGGTTAAGCGAGCGGTCTCACATAATTGATCGACTCCAGAATGGAAGCAGTTGCTCAATCTAACCTCTGCGAGAGCGTACAATAACCTGAAACACTCAGGAACCAGCGCAGTGCCACACCTCTCCCTGCAGGAAGCAGCCATTTATTTTTCATGCTAACCTCCTGAATAATTGAACGGGTATCTGTTGCTGATGGACTTCTCTCTGTTTAGCGAAGCGAGAGATCAAAACCCCCGAGGCTAACACACACATGCCCCCACCTCCCTTTCTGATTTTGAGCCCCACCCCTCACCTCCCCTCAGCTCCACACACAAGCTCTGACAGGACTCAGCTTTCCACGCATCTTCTGCTCATCACATTCAATAATACCATTGTTTCTTTTCATGCTGCTGAGCATTTCACTTCAAACAAGATTGTAGAAGACTATAAATAACTCTGCTTAAAATAAATGCCCCCCTGCTTTTAATTCCCTTTATACTCAGCAGCATGCTTGGCTCGTTTCTAGACAGCAGAATGGAAAACAATTGATCCATCCAAGATTTGTTCCTTCTATTGTTCCTCATAAATAGTCACAACTCATCATAACTACATTTTTGTGAGTATAGTTAGAATAGAAATTTATAGTAGAAGTTATATTTTGCTGTGTATGTTGTAAACAGCTTTGACACTGAATCCAAAGCGCACACCCAAATACACTGCTGCCTGCTGTATATTAAACAAAATTCACCTTTCAAAGTCCTTGACAGAAATGGAACACAACACTCTACCAGCAGTGAATCTCTTTAATTACCACTGGCATTTAGAGATTTAAACTTCCATGCACACATTCACAGAAAAGATAGAACATGTGATATTTCATTTCAACTTGCAGTTTTACAGGTATAAACACAATTAGAATGAGATCAGAAGAAATAAAAAAGATGCACTCCTGGCTGCAACGTAGAGGATTTAACCCCATGATAGCCATCTCGTCCCAGCTTTTTTACTGGACACATGAGTTAATTTATGTCACTCTGAGTGAAAGGCTCCCCCCAATCAATGAGATGCAGGCTTGTAATTGGTGACATGAAAAATGGTCTTATACCCTGGAGAATTGTCGAATCTGCTAGTAGCCAATCTGCCTGTCCACATAAATTTAACACAATGGGTACCACTGTTACAACAAATCAGTAAAACAGCGTGTCGTGTGTGTGTTTGTGTGTGTCCCTGTGGCTTTGCGTCTGTGCATTTGATATATGACATTCTGTTTAATCTTTGGCATTTGGTAATTATATCCAGGTCTATTTAGCTTTTTATCCTGTAAGTCTTGACATTGACATGCTGCTTTAATTCACAGGTACTGTGAGTAGCTATTAGCCTCGCGAACATTAAAGACTACAAGGAGGAATCTGATTTGTCACTTTGACTAGCTGAATTTCCTGTCACGGTATGTCTCTTATCGTCACGTGAGCACTGTAATTACATGTAATTACATTACTTTCTCCTTTTTTGCACTTGCTCCTAGCCATTGATTTGTATTACATATGTAAACTACATCTTTGCATCACACTATAAAAACTTGCCAGTGTAACTGATCCAAGCCCATTGTCACAACCCTGTGAGGTCAGACTTCATTCATATAGAACTGGGTTAATATTTCTGTTCATTCTCTGTTAATACCACCATCATTTATATTTTGGGTTTTTTTTCCAATGAGTATTGCACTGATTTCCATGTTTTCTCTGATCTGCAAATAAGAGCAATCTCATTTACCTTAAGTGTGATATCTCAGATGCCCTCAGTCCAATTTTGCATCACCATAGATGCATTTTGACAGTGTGTTTTACAGCTTCAAAATTTACACTGATGGAAGCGTTATAATTAAAGGTCAAGGTTTTAGTGTTTGAAAGGCTAGAGCTGCTACACAAACTGATTTTAATTATACTGGGTAGGAGTGATTCATCTTGTTGCTGAGTGTCCCAAAGGATGCTTGCATCCATCACTCAGGTTAAAATTTGTAATTAAAAGTTTGCTTGTTGTTTTTTGCCTGAGGTTGTCTGAACCGTAAGATAAATATCCCTGCATCATCTACCTAATGAGCAATGACCATGTAGAGTGAGTCTTTAAGCCAATGGTGTGACCTATTGTAATGTGATGACACCTGTGCTGTATAACGGGTGACCTTGCATGAGTTGTATTCAACTCTAACCTAATTTCATCGTACAAAACGGCCAGGTACAATTATTGTCACCTTAGATGAGTTAAGTTAGTGAGACGTTCTCTCCATGGTTACATGAAACTCTTTTAAATGAGCCTCGCTGTCAAAACCTAACCAGAGATTCATGTATTCCCACCTATCCCAGCTGTTACAGGACAGACCAGTCTATTTCAGGGTCAGCTGACCCAACATTCATATCTTTAGATTGTGAGAGGAAACTAGACAAAAGTTGTCAAGTCCACACAGAAAGGCCAGCTGGTGGATTTGTGCTATAGACCTGGAGGTGACACATACCACCAAAGGAGAGAAGAACAGAAAACATCTTCCATTCAGTTTTTTTCAATCCACATGAAAATAAAAGCAGAAAATTATACTTTTAACTTTGTTGAGGAAATAATAAAATAGGTTAGGCCTATAAATTAGACTCACTAACAGGACAGAAAGAAAACTACTGACTTTATTTGTACCAAAATAATACAAATTATCATGTGCATTTTCAACACTTCTCTCACCATAAAATATTTGAAGTCGTTTCAGAGTCGTGGTGCTGGGCACATCTTAAGGCTGATTTATAAAATCCACTCTTTACACTCAATTAATTCATGTAGCTGTGGTTTTCA